CATCCGAAGTCTCCATTTTGTCCCAAAACCAAACCTCCAACTAACATGGTCATATGCCTTTTCTATATCAAGTTTACAAATGCTCCCTTCCTTTCTATTAGTGACAATATCGTCGACTATCTCATTAGCCACCATAACAGCATCGAGAATTTGCCTACCATCCACAAAAGCGTTTTGAATGTCACTAATAATATCCCTAAGAACTCCAGAAAGTCTTCTAGCCAAAACTTTAGCAATAAGTTTATAAACACAGCCCACCAAACTAATTGTCCTGAAGTCACCAAATTCTTTAACCTCCTTCTTTTTAGGAATAAGAGTAGAAAGGTAGAATTGAAAGCTTTCACAAATTTTCAAATTTATGCAGCTTCCTAAACATTTCCATTAAATCATCCTTGATAACATCAGAATTTCTGCAGAAATTCCTATTAAAACCATCTGCACCCAGAGCTTTATCCCCATTACACAGATCCAAACTCTCTTTAATCTTATCCTTAGTGAATTCCTTTTCCAGCATTAATTTATTGTCCTCAGAAAGTCGTCTAAAATTAATATCATCCAAAGTGGGCCTTATCATATGTTCTTCATGGTACAAGTTGGCAAAAGAGTCTTTGGCTGCTTTTCTGATCTCTTGATTGGCCATAATTTTGCTGTCATCAACCAAGATTTCAGGAATGTAGTTATTTCTTCTCCTATTACTGACCTTAATGTGAAAATACTTCATATTCCGATCGCCATCCTTAACCCACCTTTCTCTAGACTTTTGCTTCTAAGATATCTCACCAGCCTTACAAAAATTAGCTAAATCCATTTTCAGAGTATTTCTCCTGCCCATCATGGTCTCATCCGTTAAACCAGTCCCCTCCAGCTAATCTAAATCATTGATTTCTTGCATGATGCTAGTGAAGAAATCCCCAATCCTCACTTTTTCATCTTTAGCCCACACCTTTATTAAATTTTTAACCTCTTTCAATTTTCCAGCAACTCTGAAACTAACTTTGCCATGTATTATAGTATTTTTCCAAGCCTCTTCCACCAACATGGCAAATCTCACATCTGACAACCATCTATTATCAAGTTGGAAAGGGATTGGCCCCCCAATGAATTCCATCCGTCTGAAGGCAAATAGGGAAATAATTCGACGTTGGCCTTTGAAGAGTTTTCTAAATTACACCAGGAATTTGAGATACCAACGCAGGAGAAACCAAGAATCTGTCAATTCTAGAGCACATAGGTTGCTGCCTCATATTTGTCCAAGTCCATCGTCCTCCTAAGAGAGGAAGATCAACTAGTTCCAGCCTATCCACCAACGCTCTATACTGATTAGCATCTGCCACCTTGCATTGTTGCTGTTTTTGTCATCACAATTCAATGTCGTATTGAAATCTCCTCCCCAACAATCCAGAAATCTCCGCATTTCCTCTTGTTATCTTCAAGTTCCCTCCCAAGAATCTCTCTCTCTTCATTATTACCCCGACACTATACACCTGTAAAAGTCCATTCACAATTCAACTTATAGTTCTCGAAAAGGCAGGATAATGTAGTCTCCCCTTTGCACACCTCAAGATATTTAACACTCTCTTCATTCCACATGAGGATAATACCACCAACAGTACCACTCGCTGGAATACAATGCCATCCTACCTCTTTCTCTCTCCACATGCTGCGAATAATCTATTCCGAACATTGATCCAATTTAGACTCTTGTAGACAAACAATATCCGACTTCCATTTTGCCAAACAACCTTTAATAATGAGTCTC